CATGAAAACTTATGGTGATATAAAAATTATTCTACAGTATCGTGGACAGAGCGGCCCGGAAATGTCGTTGGTTGTTTGTTGTATTGGTGTAGCAGAAAATATTTGTACTGATCTTTTCTGATGTAAAACTGTGGCGAGTGAACCCTGGGGTAACACATACAAGGTGAGACATTTCTCAGAGCCACATGCGAATCACATAAAAAAGTACTTGAACCTGGCTTCTGGACTAATGACCCTAGAACGGCACGGAAATGTCCCGCTCCCAATTTTTTTAAGCACAAGCATTATAATAATTATTCCCAAAACATAGTATTTTAGCCATTACGTTCTTCCATCCACATTTCCTTGTATTTGACGTACAATCCACAGAGCCTTGTCGAAATAAAAGCCTATAAGAACAACATTTTTTATTTTTATGACAAAGGTATATATATATATATATATATATATATATATATATATATATATATATATATATATATATATATATATATATATATATATTTATTGGTGGTTCTATTAACTTATACAAAGGTAGAGGTTACCTAATCAAAAATGAAGGAAAAATCTCACTCATTTATGTCACTAGTTTATTAGAAACTCGTGAGTCAGATGCCGTTTACCGTACTTGTTGCATAATATACTATTATTACGGACCACAATTTTACCTGAATTTAAATTCCGAAACCACCCTTGGATAATCCCATACAAAAGCAATTGGTCACTTTCTTATATCTATGAACAGACCATACCTTGAAATTATGCGCCGTTTGCGAGAGGCAATACCAAGAAAACGCCCGGAATCGTGCCTCAGCCACCATATTCACCGGATGTGGCTCAATGAGAATTTTTTCTGTTCCCAAGACTCAAGAAACTCATGAAAGGAAGGAGGATTGGAACGACTGAGGAGATGAAGAAAAAATCGCTGTAAGAACTCAAGGCTATACCAGAAAGTGCTTACCAGAAGTGTTTCGAGGATTGAAGAGAATGTTGGCACAACTGTATTATATCTGGAGCGTGGGGGGATTACTTTAAAGGGGACAATATTAATTTTTGATGAATAAATAAATACTTTTGAATAAGACAAAAATCTTACCTTACTTTTTGACTTTTTGAACACACCTCGTATAATATTTTTGATTTTTTTAACAAAATAAAATATTTTGATTTCTTTTCTCTCTAGTAATATGTACAATTTAGTGTAATTTCGTGGTGTTATTGCTGGTAATGAATATTTTAAAAATTTAATTAAATCTAGTAATAGGTACAATTTAGTGTAATTTCATAGTGTTATTGCTGGTAATGAATATTTTAAAAATTTAATTAAATCTAGTAATATGTACAATTTAGTGTAATTTCATAGTGTTATTGCTGGTAATGAATATTTTAAAAATTTAATTAAATCTAGTAATATGTACAATTTAGTGTAATTTCATAGTGTTATTGCTGGTAATGAATATTTTAAAAATTTAATTAAATCTAGTAATATGTACAATTTAGTGTAATTTCATAGTGTTATTGCAGGTAATGAATATTTTAAAAATTTTGAGTAAAGTGTCATTACTTAATAAACCCATCCGCCACACCCCCATAATTTCTTTATTGTACTTATATAATTTCTAAGAATCCCTCTGGAATTCCTTCGTTCCCTATACGAAAATTCCTTCGCACTTCATCCCTCGGGATTTAAACTATTCCAGGTTAGTTTTTAAAGTTAATTGCAACTTGCGATTGGGTACTTACAGCCCGTAAAGTTCAACTAACTATATAACTTAATTAAATGATAAATTTGGAAAAACCCCGTATCTAAAACAAACCCCGGCAGCGGCGTGGGCTGCGGGATTTCCCGGGAAAGCCGACGAATTATTTAAAAACAATTTTATTCGGACTAGGAAATTAGGAAAAGCGAGCGGCGACGGCACAAAGCGGTTTTAGTTTCCCGTAAATTAGGTTGAGGATTAAAACTCGAATAATCCAAAAATCCACCGTGCAAATAAATTAGTTGGGCAAATCTTATTAAAAACTCATAATTTTTGGTGGGCGGAGACGGCGAAGGAGTATTTTCGCGAGGTGGAATTAAAAATTAAAAAAAGACGTGTTTTTTTTTAAATAAGGTATTTTCCGCGGATTTTTCCGACGCAATTAAAAAGTGTTTTTCTATTTTTTTTTAGTTAGTTGGCTGTCCCCAGAAAATCGTTTTAACTCTATGGGCTATATAGGGTGATCTTCACTTTTGAGATACAGGGTGTGAAAGTCATCAGGAAACAATCTTTTTTATACATCTAGTTCATATTTCAGATCTAACACAAATAGCACAAGGACGTCCGTAAAACATGCGGGGCATAGCGTATATCCTAGGGATATACTGTTTCAGTTAAGGGACATCCTTCGAACGTCCACAGTATATCAGATGCGGATGTAGGTAGGATGTTTGTTAGGACATACTAAGGATATCCAGTTATACTAGTCGAGACGTCGTTAGTATATACCACTGTGAGGATCTTATGTATGACCTTATTTATTAGGTTATTTCCCACAGACTATGAGAAATACTGGAAAGGTAATGCCCAGTAGTCCACTTGGATGTACGACTACAAAAATTATATCCCAGTATTTGGTACTCGCTTGTGATGAAATTAACCCATTGGGTGTGGTTGGTTATTCACATTTTTTTCTATTGTAGATATGAAAAAATTGTACGTATATAATATACCAAAAATATAGAACAACCTAACCTGAAGTATCTTAAACATAGAGTAAGATACCATCTACTGTATACTATATACTAAAAGAATAACTAATATTTGACAGGTTTTCTGTCATTCTTTGGTGAAGCAGCGAAGCAGCTGTTGTCACAGTCTTTTGATGTTCATGATGCCTTCTTATCCGTATCTGAAAATATTTTAGTTTTGAGAAAGACAGATTTTATGTATCTGTATTTTATAAAAAAAATAAAAAGAACGAGACTGATATCTTATATGTTTAAAAAACAGATTTAAAAAAATTAATATCTTGTTTTTGGAGGCTGATCCTTGAACCATTTGAAGAAAAAAATCGACTAACTATACTATATAACTAAAAATATAATTTTGTTCTGGGAGATTAATTTAGGTTTGTATGCCTAAATTTAACTGCTCAAAAAACATATCTTGTTTTCAAAAACTAAGCAATAAGATACGAAAAGAAGTCTAGAATCAAAAAACATATATGCCATCTAAAACCTATATTATAGGTTATGTAGGTTACAAAAAAATCAGTTTTATCTTAACTCGGTTGAGCAATTACTTAAAAAACAGTATCAACTATGCAATCACCATAATATATATTTTATTAAATTATATTTCTTTACTTTCTTTATATTACATTTACGTCCTAGTTATTTTTAAAAAACATAATACCTACTTACCAAATATTAATTTCGCCAATTTTAATTTTGAAAATTTCTCCTTTTTCGTCATGCCCAACCAAGTAAATTTCACTGCAAGTTCATTTGAAATCAGCGGGGTGAGAGCTTGCTATCTCATCGACCTAGCAAAATAATAAAAAAACAAGGCATGATCTTGGTAGACTACACAACAATTGCTCGTTCAGGTTAGAATTTATCAAATCTTATGTTATATATTACCATAAAGCTTTACTTACATTAATTATTAGTTCTTCAGTAATAATAATACAACAAAAAATAACTGAAATGAAAGCACTGAAAGCAGTAAATACCAGACGCCAAGTCGCCGTATACCGCCAACAAAAACAAGGCTGAAAAGATGGCGGACGACGAGGCGGAGGAGAAGCCGACGAGACCCGAGCGAGTCCGGCTCGGCACGACCGCGAGTAGTTGCGTCATAGGCTGCAGACGAACAGTGTTGTCAAATGTCAACAAAATTTTCTGTGTTATTCTTATTAAAAAAGCGTTTCTTGTCGCGTTCGTATCCAAAAATAAAGGTTTGATTCCTTTTTTTTTTAGGGCTTACCAACACTGACGTCGATGTAGATGTGCACAAAAACGTTGTCAATAAAATGTCTCCAAAAACAAATCTAAAAAAACTAAGTTGTTCAGAATATAACTTTTTATTATTATTATTATTATTTTACAGACAGGAGTAGAAAAACTCTTTATCTTACTCGTTTATTAAGCACTCGCTGCCACATAAACTCGTGAGTCATATGCCGTTTACTGCACTTGTTGCATAATATACTATTATAATCAAATAAAACGTGTTTCTACACATTTTCTTCCCACCTCAGCTAGTTTTCTACTCCGAAACGTACGAGAGTCATCGAAAATTGCACCTATGGCCGTTTTTCGATCCCGCGTGTTGACATTTTCAAATTGACAGACGGCGCTCGCTCATCGCCTCCTCGTGCCGTGAAAAATTAACAGCGTCGCCCCGCGCGACGGGGCGGGGGGACACCGAAATTGAATGCGCCACCCGACGACGTTATTATCCCCATTTTTCATTTACGCGGGGTCGCCGCCCGCCGCCCCCTTTTATATCGCATTTACCCATTTCGCATAATCACGACGCAGAAGAGACAAAAGACGTGTAATTACTTTTGAATAATAAAAATCGCGTAAAAGTCAAAGGAAAACGGCGCAAAAAAAAATCGGGGGCGAGGGAAAACGACGCGAGCGAGCGAGAGGGGGTGAGAACGCGTCCAATGGTGCCTCCCCATCCGTCTTCCTTACGAACAAACAAATCTATTAAACCCATCTCGCTTTAATCTGGTCGTAAAAAAAGTGTTTAGTGTTTAGCCATAAACTGTATCGGTATCCCCCCACTATTAAGAATGATCCGGTTTACCGGAAGGGAATCCCGATTACCCTTTTCTCGTTCGCTCACGACCCTCTTCCGCATGGCGCTGTCTCCGTCTGGCGGGCGAGGCCACGCCCCGTCGCCAGTTTCTGCTCGCGTTCGGCGCATGCGCTGCGAATCTGCACGGCCGTACGGACCTCCCATAGCAACGTGGGTTCTGTTGTCTCCGATTCCGACTGATAAACGTCGAGTAGAATTCGCGGGAGATCGGTCGCTCTTATAAGAACACGCCGACGTTTTTGGTACTTTTCGGAATTCGGTGCGTCTGACGAAAGCCCAGGCTAGTTGTAAAGAAGAAGAGTTTCGAGCGTTACGTCACGGGGGGTATTCCCCCAAGTTGAGCATCACGATTTTCGGCGACACCCACAAGGTACCAGTTTTTAGAAGCTTCGCGTTTCCGAATAATCTTTTTTTTTTTTTAATTATGGGGAAAATTGGTCTCCAGTGAAGGCGGTTAGAAATTTGGCGGTCTCATTTTTGCAAAAGAAATAAACAAATATATCCTAGGCCATTTTTTAAAATTTGTGTTTTAATTTTTAATTATGTTCTAAACTTGTAGATTTTTAAAAAAATGTGTATATATTTTACTTTTCAAATTGTAAGTTCGTTTTCAGTTTTTCCTATAATTAATTCTTTTATAGTTAAAAATCCGGTTAACTATTTAGAAAACCATTTTAAAAATTTGCTTTACAAATTGTTCGTTTTCTTCTAATGTTTTTGAAATCACACCAACTTCCGAGTAGATACTTAGATATTTTACACAATGCAATGTCAAAATGTACATTAACTAACTCCTCAAAAAACTGAAATCATATAATTATACATGCCTTGTTTGGCGGAGTATTAGGCAAACTTGGTAGGCGTATAGATACGTCCATTTTGTTTTTTTAAATATATTTTCGGCCTTTTTTAAAAATTTGTGTTTTAGTTTTTAATTTTTTTCTATTGTTATACATTTAAAAAAAATGTGTATATATTTTATCTTTAAATTTGTAAGTTCGTTTTCAGTTTTTCCTAAAATTCATTCACTCGAGCAGGTACTTGGATATTTAACACATCAATACAATATCTATAAATACGTGATCAGTATCTAGATAAGAATTCGTTGATAAAAAAGTTTCTAAAGCCAAAAATTGCAATAATTAAATTGTACAAAAGGTGTTTGGCAAGAAAACATTGTCGGCGTGTAGATACGTCCATTTTGTAAATATTTTGTTTGTTTTTTACATAATTTATTTCCTAACATTTTCAAAAAATTACAAAAATGCGAACAGATTTATAGGTAAATGAATTCGCAATACAAACAGCAGAGAAAGAAAAAAGCAAGATCAAACCTCTCAAAAGTGTTTAAGTACTTAAACTGTTTTTCTACCTATGCTTTGGTGAACACAATTTTTCCTAAAATTCGTCCTTTCTTGTTCTGATGTTTAGAAAATCTACAATGCGCTTTGTGGTATTTTAAAAGAAGAAGAGTAATATATAAAAAAATAAATCGCCGGCCATTTTTATAGATGCATTTTTTAAAATTTGTGTTCATTTTAAAATTTTCATTTCATTAATTTTAAAATTTATTTATTGATTTTCATAAATTTTTTTCTTCATTTTAATAATTTTCTTTACTAATTTTTCATTTTCTTCTGTTTTTAAAATAGCACCAACCTCCGAGCAGGTACTTGGATATTTAAATAAAAATTTGTTGATAAAATTGTAAAAATATCCATTAATGGGGTGTCAGGCAAACTTGGCGGGTGTAAACTAAAACTAAACTAAACTCCGATATAAAAAAACTCGCATATAGAACACCTTCCCCCTATAATAAACTGAAACTAACTTAACTCTAGTGGTGTTTATGTACACTTGCATTTAGATATGAGTGTCACGTTTACTGGGCGACTTGTAAACGATCTGGAGGGTTAATCTTACTACGTCTACGAAGCAGACGCGCACAGTGGTCACTTGGGACTTCATTGTCGCTGGGGTTGTTTTCACTGGGTGAGATAACGTCTTCACTTTCTGAGTCCGATGTTTCGCTATCGCTAGACCTAACTAACGTTACAGTATTACTTGATCTGTTTCTTGTTACGTTAGAAGGTGGAGTCATCGAGGAATTTTTTTTATTTGGGGCTGTCATGGAGTTTTCCTTGCTGGGGCAAGACTTGTCGTTACAATGATACTTTTTTAACTGACACCGACCAACTCAACCACGTAAGTTCTTCGGCCAAGTATATCTCGAACTACCCCTTGACACCACCTGCTTTTATCCGTGTTTGGACGGTAGTCCCGGGTCCATACTTTCTCCCCGATTGAAAATGACAGTTCCCCTTTCTTTTTGCGCTTAAGTTCTATTTTGTTTTGTTTTTCTTTTACAATATTTTCGGTCGAAGGTAAAATTAAATCAAATGTAGTGCGTAAATTCAATACAATACGTGGCCCGGCAAGTAACTGCCGTGGATAGCCCTAGGAAAACGTACCGCATTACGGTTTACAAAAAAACCTAAACTAAACTGCGATATAAAAAAACTCGCATATAGAACACCACTAATGAGCGGCCGTATTAAGTGAAACACAGATTTATTAATGAATTTAAAAATATTGAATAAGAAATATGAATGTTTAAAACTTTCTTTCTGAAATATGAAATAGTTAAACATTAAAAGAAACAAAACTTTGAGCTTATAAGCGATTTTATTTCGAATAATGGCGGGTATAGGGTATTACAAATAAAAAAGCATTAGACTGCAACTATTTTCAAATTTTATCGCGGAGATTTCTTATTAAAAATGAATTTTAATTCGGCGTTTGAGTTTCATCGCGTAAAACGTTTTGTTACGTGCCGGTTTAATAACCCACAACTGGGTTTGTTGATGCGTCGCGTATCCCCGCTAATAAGAAACATCCTGTATGGTGTGAATTAAGTGCCGCAAATTCAATTGGTACGCGTTAAAGGGATTTGGTGGCTGGCAAATTTGTTTGGCGAGCGGGCTCTTGATTAACGCGAAAGGCTATCGTTTAAATCTACAAGAAGAAACGCTCTCTGTGGACAAAGCACGGGATGTGTGGTGAAGGAACTGCCACTCGATGCGGGAATAACCTGGACTCCTGTGGGTGATCGTTATCGATGGCCCGAGATCTCATTCACACGGGTTTACCTGTCGTTTAGGGGCCTCGATAAAGATCCCTGCGAAATGATATCGTTTTCACATATAAAGGAGATACGGATTTTTAATATTAAACATGGAAAATGGCGATAGCTGTCGAACCGTTCTAAAAAAATTGGTGGGGCAACTGGATCTCGGCGACCATGTTTTTTGACGATTTTCACCTATTTTAGATAAGGTTTGGCGCCGTGAGGTAACGTGTTAAAGCCAGTGGCGCAGGGGCTCGTGATATATGTTCAAAAATTGAAGAAAATCACTTCCAAATTTTTTTTCGCAAAGCGTTTGCGTGATCGAAAAAATTTTTGCCCTGACTGTTTGTTTTTAGAGATATTAAGGTAAACAAAAAAACCAAACACTATCAATTTTCTGGAACATAACATCATATTCCTTTAAATGGAACACCCCGTATATTATATACGCTTTTAATAGAATATTCAAAGGTTGCAGAATGCTTGTTTTCGTTTCATTATGGGACAAATGGAACAAAGAAGAGCTCTTCATTTCAACATGTTCGTTATGAAAATTATCCATTAACTCGATTCACCCACTTTGCTGAGAGAGCGGCTTGCTCCTAGCAGTCCTAGCCATTCTGTGAATGTAAGATACAGGTACAGACTAACGATACCACACCATCAGAGTGCCTTGTTTCGTAGATCTTTCACATTCAACGCAATTCGTGTTTATAATTCTTTGTCACAGGAATTTGTTACAAATACAGTTTTCCTAATAATGTGTTACTAATTATGTTATTAGCCAGGGATTATATTGAGTTATCAAATTCTTTATCTTCAGTTGCATTTTCTGTAGTGTGTAGTGGAGTTACGTTGCTCTTCCGATTTTGCAGGTATGTTTCATATTTTATATATGTTATATACAACAATAATTATTTACAAATTAAAGTAGAACAAAGACACTAAAATGACAAGAGACACTAAAGTAAAAAAATCTTTAACTATTCTAAATACCACCTGAACATATTTCCCACAAACTCTAATTGTATGATGTCTTGCATTAAGTAATGTTTCCGGATTGTCTATTAATTAATTGAAATCCTTGAAATCCTTTGTCGAAATTCCACAACATTATTACAAGGAGTTCCGTGCATGTGATTTTTTATGTGTCCCCAAAAGAAAAAATCCATTAAAGTTAAGTCGAGGCTGTTGGCTGGCCAATCCATAGTTCCACCGTTCCATATCCAATTTTTGACTTGCACATTAGGAGGAGGGGCACCGTCTTGCTGCCAAATAATCGACGCTGATATATTTAGGGGCTTTTATATATTCTTCTATTTGGTGCTCTAAGAGTTGAAAATAATGATCTCTAGTTAACTTTGATCTATTAATATCGGACCCAAAATATGTCCATCTATGACACCACACCATACATTAATTAATTGATACCCCTGAGTTTTTATTTCCCCTTTTTCGTAGTGAACGAACTTTAATCAGTCCATAAAATGTTCTTCAAAAAATTAGTAATCTCGTTATGTCTATTTAAAAAATCTTTTGAGTTTTATGAAATTTAAATGCATTATATTTATATTCTTTTAAAAATGAATGGATTGTTCTTCGCTTCGTATTCTCTAGTAATAGAATCGTAATATGTTTACCTTGCCTGTTATACATTTTTTTGAAAGTCATACCAAGCGGAATCAAATTGGAGTTTCAAAAATGCGAAAACTTGAATTCTGCATAAAAATCTATCATATTCCCGATATTTTGTAGGATACTCGAGATACGAGGGGTGCCCCAAAACTTCAATTTTCCAAAATCATCCTGTATTTTAAAAGCTAAGCAAGTCAAAAAAGTGTCAAAGGTTTGCGAAAACGCAACTAAAAACGGACATACCCCTCAGTTGCGATCAAAATGGGACCAGTGCAGATTAAAGCAAATTAAAAAAACAATAATATAGATGGCAAAGAAATATCAAATATAAAATACAAAACAAAGAACACAAATATCAAAAAAACTAAAACAATAAAAAAGTTACAGACGAACATGGTAAACAGGCATTTCAAAATATTCAGATTACTATGTTTGTTATATTAAAATGTATATATAAAATATATAAATATTCTTCGAGGCAGTAAAAAAAACGTCATAAGACTCGAATTAATATTTTTATATTTAACTTAATTAGATTGATGAATATTCAGCTGATTAAATTAATTAATCTAGCGGATTATTTTACCTTCAAAAAGGCGTCAACAGGA